CTGGCGAGCACATTATTTATTTATTTTCTCAGTGTCTCAGCTGCGCGTTATGAACCCAGAGTACGACTACTAATAATAACTACTACACGATGAGTTTCGTCTGGGAGGGTGACAGAGTGCGAGGGGAGGGAGGGGGCTCAGCGACAGTGGTAGAAACTGAAACTGTCTTTGTTGAAGGTCGACTCGGCCTCAAATGAGTCGCTGGTGCGGTGTGTAAACGTCGCCACTGGGGAGACAAAGGCGGCCGGGCGTGCGTGGCGCCGGCCACCCACCCCGTCGTGTTTCGTGCCGACGGTTAACAAGTACTCGCTAAGAGCACTTGCCCCAAAAATCTGTTGAAGACTTTACGAGGGACCTTTGTCTGTGTGCGTGTGTTGTTTATGCACGCGTGTGTCTCCCCAACAGCGGTGGGGGGGGGGTTATTTATTTGTTTAGTTGTTCATTAGCGCGAGGAGGCAACGTGTGTGGACATGTTCAGAGAAAAACAATCAACTCCACTCCCCCTCTCTCCCTCCGCACGCTCTCTCATCTCTTTGCCCTCTCTCTACTCTCCTCTCTCATCTCTCTGCCCTCTCTCTCTACTCTCTCTCTCCTCTCTCGTCTTACCGCCCTCCTTCAGAACTTTCCACTCTTCCACCTCCTCTCTCTCTCTTCTCTCCCTCCTCTCTTCGCTTTCCCTATCTCCCACTTTTCTCCATCTCGATGTCTCTCCGCGCTCGTCCGTCTAATCGGCGCTCACCATAACCGCGGATGATGTCACGCACGGCACGTGACGTGAGCGTTCGGTACGTGACGTGAGAACCCTCACGTCACGTACGGCACGTTACGTGAGAATTCTCACGTCACGCACGGCACGTGACGTGAGAGCTCCACGTCACGCACGGCACGTGACGTGAGAACCCCTCACGTCACGTGCCGTCGCTAGGGCACGGCGAATCGGGGCGACCGCCCCGGGCCCCACGCTTTGGGGGGTAGTTAATACCGTGTGATTTGCCCTGGGCCCCCCCACGCCGCCCCCCCCCCCACTCCTCCCCATGGACGGTCCTGCTCACACAGATGTGCAAAAAATATAGACGAAGATCCCCCCTGTATAGCCTGAACAAACTGTTAGGCCAAGCGCTGTTAGCGACTTGCAACCCTACGGAGGCCAAAACCTGGCATGGCGCGCGAAGGTGGTGGTGAGTGGCCAACACCACTCCCCGGCCGCCTTTGTCTCCCCAGTTGGCGACGTGTACACATCGCACCACTTTCTCTTTTAAGGCTGAGCCGCCCTAGGTCGACGCACTCACTCGCGCACGCGCTCTGGGGCGCACAGAGAACGCGCACGCGCTCTGGGGCGCACGCGCTCTCACGCGCACAGAGAACGCGCGCGCGCGCACGCTGCCCTCTGCCTCTCCCACACTCGCACGCGCTTTCGGACGTCACTCTTCACGTTCGGTGGCCGGCGACCGGTATTCAACTCGCGGCCATCGATGGGGGTTCAAAGCGCAGTGCGCCAACCACTGCGCCACCGCTCCATTCCCTATCTCTCACGCGCAACAACAGCAACAACAACCGCCGTTCGCCACTCAGTGGCGGTGAGGTCACCACGGCGCTCGTGCCAGGCTGGGTGCACTTTGAGGCCACGTGAAGTGTCGAAGGCCCGCTCGCAGGAAGGTCACGGAACAGATCCATGTGCCTTGGGTTGCCTGACCGAGTTGAATGTCGCTCACTCTCTCTCTCTCACCACTCACGCTCTTAAAAAAAAGAACCGCTCTCACACCCTCTCAATGTGCTCCCATTTACGTCCGAGTACACACCGTCACACGCGCGACCACTCCCAGTCGCTCACACACACACAGAAAACAATGACAAAGATCCCCCGTATAGCCTTAACAGACTGTTGGGGCATGTGCTGTTAACGAGTACCATTGAAGGCCGGCACGGTACACGAGGGTGTGGGTGGCCAGCACCACGCCCGGCCGCCTTTGCCTCCCAGTGGCGATGTTTTTAAGCACCGCACCAGGTACTCATTTTTGGCTGAGACGACCCAGGGGAGGCCCAGGACCTATTCAGGTAATCGTCACCGGTGTTGGCCGCGAGCGGGAATCGAACTCGCGGTCGCCAAGTTCGTATGGCAGCGCGCTAACCGCTTTCCACACAGACACAGTCCGAGTCTCACACACGCAGACACAGTCTGAGTCACACACAGACACAGTCTGAGTCTCACACACAGACACAGTCTGAGTCACACACAGACACATTCTGAGTCACACACACAGACACAGTTTGAGTCTCACACACACAGACACAGTCTGAGTCTCACACAGACAGACACAGTCTGAGTCACACACACAGATACAGTCTGTGTCTCACACACACAGACACAGTCTGAGTCACAACAACACACAGACACAGTCTGAGTCTCACACACACAGACACAGTCTGAGTCTCACACAGAGACAGTCTGTGTCACACACACAGTCTGTGTCACACACACAGACACAGTCTGAGTCACACACACAGACACAGTCTGAGTCACAGACACACACAGACACAGTCTGAGTCACAGACACACACAGACACAGTCTGAGTCACACACAGACACATTCTGAGTCACAGACACAGACACAGTCTGAGTCTCACACACAGGCACAGTCTGAGTCACACACAGACACAGTCTGAGTCACAGACACAGACACAGTCTGAGTCTCACACACAGACACAGTCTGAGTCACAGACACACACAGACACAGTCTGAGTCACAGACACACACAGACACAGTCTGAGTCACACACACAGACACAGTCTGAATCTCACACACACAGACACAGTCTGAGTCACACACAGACACAGTCTGAATCACACACAGACACAGTCTGAGTCTCACACACAGACACAGTCTGAGTCTCACACACAGACACAGTCTGAGTCACAGACACAGACACAGTCTGAGTCACACACAGACACAGTCTGAGTCTCACACACAGACACAGTCTGAGTCTCACACACAGACACAGTCTGAGTCACACACAGACACAGTCTGAGTCTCACACACAGACACAGTCTGAGTCTCACACACAGACACAGTCTGAGTCACAGACACACACAGACACAGTCTGAGTCACAGACACACACAGACACAGTCTGAGTCTCACACAGACAGTCTGAGCCTCACACACAGACACAGTCTGAGTCTCACACACACAGACACAGTCTGAGTCACAACAACACACAGACACAGTCCGAGTCACACACAGAGACAACAAAGACAAAGACAAAAGCGCAGTATTTTTACTCGCTCTCACGTGCGGATGGCTGAACAAAAAAAATCGCTAAATAAATAAACACACACTCTCTCTCGCTCCTCTCTCCCTTGCGAGCGAGAGAGAGGAGCGGGAGAGTGAGAGAGCGAGGCGAGAGAGAGCGAGAGGGGGAGGGAGGCAGCGAGAGAGAGAGCGAGGCGAGAGAGCGAGAGAGAGAGAGATGAATATGAGGCGATAGCAGAGACAAAGGGGTTGGTGGGGGGAGCGTTCAAGCCGGGTTTTCGTTTCTCTTCGCGGGGACACTACAGCACCGCGGACCGGTCCGGGGGGTCACGGCTCATCCAGACTCCTCCGCTCATCCATCAACAGGCGCGGGGACAGGAGCTCGCAAACTCAGCCGAGAGACCGGGGAACGATCATCATCAGCAGCAACAATATCATTAGCTTCACGCGGGACCGTCGTCCGTGACAACCACAGCGTTATCTCATATCTACGCCAATATCGGAGAAGTCAATCAACATCATCATCAGCAGTATAATTATTATCATCATTGGTATCAGCATCATCAGCAGCAGCATCACCATCATCATCATCAGTATTAGCAGCATCGTCATAATCGGTGTCCAGAGCAACAACCTTCAAACAAATCCGTCATTCGCAGCGGCAAAGAATCCGCATCCTTGACATCATCATCACCGTTCGTCATCATCAGCATCACTAGCATCATAAGCATACGTTGTATCACAAGAACATCAAATATGTTTGTCATTAGCGGTGGTATCAATGAGCAGCATCATCGGAATTGAAATCATTTTCATCATCAGAAGCAGCATAAGCAGCATCAGCTGCCGATATCCCAGCAACAGCTGCATTGTCATTTACTCCCTATGAGCAGCAACATCAATAAACATCATCGACAGCATCATCCTCATCACCGTTCATCATCAGCAGCAGCAAATTCATCGTCATCATCAGCTGCATCATCATCATCCTCCTATCCTGTTAGAGTAGCAGAATCGTCGTCGTCGTCGTCGTCATTATTAACAGCGGTATCATAAATTATTACCACATATATATCAGAATCGCTAATTATAATCATCATCCTCTCGGCCAGGAGCTGCATCAATCATCGTCACCAGCGTCTGTATCAATCAGTGTCGGCACCAGCTGTTGCTGCACCTGCTGCTGCTGCTGCTGATACCAAACGCTGCCGCGACTATAACTGCAGTGGCTCTTACGACTGCTGCTCCTGTTATTGCTCTTACTGCTGCGACTTCACAAGCTGCAGCAGGAGAGGATCGAGTCCGCCTGCTTGCACTGCCACCATCACCAAGTACCACCACCACCATCATCACCAAGTACCACCACCACCATCACCAAGTACCACCACCACCACCGTGGCTACCACGCATCCACCATCACCGGAGCCAGCACCACCACCACCACCATCGACCCATCCACGCGCCCTACACCATCACCACCCACCCACCCTCCACCCCGCACTATCACCACCACCGCCACCGCCACCATCACCACCACCGCCACCATCACCACCACCACCACCACCCACCCTCCACCCGGCACTATCACCAGCGCCGCCGTCACCACCACCACCACCACTGCCTGCGCCGGAGCCCCAAGGATGGAGCTTCGCATCTGGGACCACATGGCCATCGACGTCTGCCCGGAGCCCATCCGCCCCATCAAGCAGATCTCTGACTACTTCCCGCGCGTGCCCTGCTCATTCCCCGCAGCCATGAACCGCTCGGGGGCTCCGGGGGCAGTCGCGGCGGGGGGAGCCGCAGGGGGAGCCGCGGACGGAGGAGACGCGGCGGGGAGGGACGGAGAAGCGGGAAGAGACGCGGCGGTGGCCATGCGGGAACGAGAGCGACTCCAGCAGATTCAGGCGGAGAGAGCGGAGCGCGAGAGGGGGGAGCGCGAGAGGGCGGCCGTGGCTGTGGTGGTGGCGGTGGCCGCGCCCGCCGCCGAGTCGGAGCGAGACGTGGAGCGAGACGATGACAGCGGGGACTCGGATGACAGCAGTGAGTGCGCGCACTGCAACTTGGCACATGCACGTAAACACGCACGCGCACACACGCACATCTCCCCTATAGCTTCTAACGGAACGTCGGGGAAAGTGCTGTTCGCGAGCAGCGCCTGTAAAAAGCCGGCACGGCACACGAGGGCGTGGGTGGCCAGCACCACGCGCGGTCGCCTTTGTCTCTCTTCGTGGCGATGGTTATGCACCGCACAAAGTGACTCGTTTAAGGCGGAGTCGACCAAGGGGATGCCCAAAGGGGATGCCCAGAGGGGATGCCCAGAGGGGAGACCCAGGTAGACCCATGGAACCGTGCGAATGTTCTCCACCGTGAGCGGGCATCGAACTCGGGTAGCCAGATTCGTAACGCAGTGCGCTAACCACTTCACCGCCGCTCCGCACGCATATTTCACACACACAGACACATCCACATTGAGAGAGACGACATCTCCCACAGCCCTGCAGCTCAGACTCTTAAGTCGCATCCTTGTTAAAATGAGATCACCACGTGCCCCGCCTGCAGACCTCTCATTAATTAGGGCTCAATTAAGGGTCGGATACCAATGAAGGGTTAATAATAATAATCTCAACCTGTAACACTCAATGCGTAGCACTCGCTCGCTCTCGTAGAGTGACGAGCGTGAAGGGAGCAGCAGCAGCCACGCGGTGGTGAGAAGCCGGCGCTTACCAACAATTGGCCGAGCTCTGCGTTCCTCTACATATTAAGGTGTTCTCGGCCAATCGAACGCGTGATTTGTACGTGGAGAGGAGTGCTTCACATGAAGCACCCGGACAAGGACAAAACAAACCCACGTGTGTGTGCGTGCGAGCGAGGGGGTGGGGTGGGGCGAGGGCAAAACTAAAATCCCATACAAATGAAACAGATGGAATGTAGTCCACATTCTTTTATTTTGCTGTACCGCCACTTGCTGGCGAGTCGGGATATACGCGGCACTTCCTCTGTGCGGCGATCCACCAACCCCTCGCTGCTGCCTCCACAATGCGGGATTACAGGAGGTGGAACGTGGCCACCAAGGCGCGGCATACAAAGACAAAGGTCCCCCACACCCACCCACCACCCCGTGTAGCCTTCACGGACTTTTGGGGGCAAGTGCTGTGAGTTGTGCCCTTGCCGGTTTTCGCATCAGCTCTCGCGAACGGAACCCAGCTGTTCCGAACGAACAGGCGCGACCCTCCACGTGCCGTGAGGGTGAAGGGACAGGCCCTCGCGACTGTTTGTTCCCGGCCAAGATTCCCGTGTTCTGTTCAAACGAGCCGTTCCGAACCTGCATTGTGCATTCTTGTTCCGAACCACGCGAGATGAGTTTATTCGGAGTAAGTTTCATCATTATCATCATCATCAGCAGCAGAAGTCCGCCGCTATTTATATTATTGCCACATGTTGAAGGGTGCCGTCTCCAACTACGATTCCCTTCGCCTCTCTCTGTTATGAAGAAGGGTGATTGCCCGAAACGTCGCCCATCGTATTTTTCCACTTTTTGGAGGCAGTGTTATCGACGAACCTGTCGGGGCCTATTGTCTTTGAGATCCGTCAGCTAAAGCGAGCAACCATTTATTCTCACCGATCTGCTGTTACGTCTGACTCACTCGAATCGTGATCATCGTCGGTCATGGTCAATTCACTGCTGGATGAATGCCTGCCCAAGCCGCCACCACCACCTCTCACTATCCTGCGATGTAGCGACCCACCCGAGAATCCCGCAGCACGCGAAGATTTGTATCGCTCCATCTCCTCCTCGGCGCGCGGCCCTCAAATCGACGCGTTCCATCTCTTGGCTGCTGCCGCTCCGTTATTACTCTCGACCATCCGCCATCGTCAGCCCCCCTCCAGCCGTGATGCGTCCGCCCCAATCAATCCCACAGGTTGGATCATTGGGGTTTATTAGTAATACATCGGCATTTTGCGACCCCCACTGCCTCTGTGTAGCATATTATTACGTGCCAGGGACTCTACAAGGTGATAGGACAATAGTCTGAGTCCATAATTGGCAATAAGTAACGGAAAAGTAGTTATAAGTGACTCAGAATTATGCGCAGTTGCGTATACAGTCCACGACTTCCCTGAAGGCAAACACCTTCAGCGAGTGCGATGCCGATCACACAACGCGGTTCGAATTCGCCCCTCGATCGATGGCTGCGCCGAATAAAAAGCACAAGTCCTTACTTACTAACAAGTCCTTACTTACTAACAACTC